ATTTAGAAATATAAATGGAGAATCTTCGCTACATATTGCCGCAAAATATGGACAAATTGAAATTGTCAAATGGTTTATGAGAGATGTAAAAAACCCTAGAGTTCTAGATAATTCTAAAGTAACTCCACTACACCTTGCAGTTCGTTTTAACCAGATAGAAATCGTCAAAATACTATTGCCGAGTAATACGGAACTTTCATTTACGGAATTGATCCATTTAGCAGTGTTGAGTAATAGTAAAGATGTTGTTGAGTTTTTAGTGAAAAATAGTAATGAACAGGTACATTGTTGTCTAAGTAATGAGAACCAAACCCCACTACATATAGCCGCGAAAAATGGCTACGCAGAACTGACACAATATCTAATTAGTCTTCAACCTGATATAAATTGTCGTTCGGATGGAGAAGTAACACCTTTGCTTGATGCTGCCGTTTATGGTCATGCGGAAACGGTAAAAATATTAGTTTCAAATAATGCGGATGTCAATATTGGTAGTAATAGTGGAACCACAGCGTTGCACGTAGCTGCTCAATTTGGACATGAAGAAGTCGTCAAATTTTTGCTTGAAAATGGTGCAGATGTCAATAAGACCGATATAGATGGAAATGCAGCTCTTCATTTTGCAGCAAAAAAAGGATCTCTCAATATCGTTAAGTTATTGATAAAACACAAGGCTGATGTTAACGTTAAATCTAAAATCTCTGAAACTCCTCTTATTCTTGCAGTTTTCAATGGTCATCCCGAGATAGTTCAACTTTTGCTGGAAAAAAAAGCTCTAGACATACCGTATGAAGAAAGTGGGAATTCAGCAGTGCACTTAGCTGCTATGAACGGTAATATTGAAGTAATGAGATTGTTATTTCGACAAAAAGGACAACTAAAAAAAAGAAATGTGCTTCAAGAAAATCCACTATATTTGGCGGCATCATATGGTCATCTCGAAGTTGTTAAATTTCTGGTTGAGCGCGGTGCTACTTGTAACAATTCAAATGATTGGAACAACTATAATCCACTGCACGCGTGTGCATATGCAAATCATCCGGAAGTTGCTAAATTTTTCATCAGTCAAAAAGTAGATCTTGATGCAAGGACGAAAGAATCCTCAACTCCGATAGGTATTGCTGCTTTTACGGGATCTTATGAAATTGTAAAATTATTGGTTGAAGCTGGTTGCAATTTTAACGTTAAAAATGCAAGAGGTGTAACACCTCTGCATACAGCTATAATGAGAAATCATCTGAAGGTAGCAGAATATCTATTAACTCAAGATGTTGATGTTAAGGCAGCAACAACTGATAAGAAACTTCCAATTCATGTTGCACTAGAAAGTAATCTATTTAACGTAGTCCCCACTCTAATAAACAAATACAAAAATTCGGTTAACTATCAGGACTGTTTGAACGAAACCCCTTTGTATATGTTGTGTAAATGGAACCATCCTGAATTGGTACAAGTTTTCATAAACAACGGAGGAAAAATAATTTATGATAGTAAGCATTGTATGAATCCAGCTGTTAGTACTGGAAGCAAAGACGTTATAGATGTATTATTTAAGAACGGGGTCAATGTTCACGGTGTACTACCTGGTGGAGTACCATTTCTTCATCGAGCTGTCCAATTTGAACAATTAGATATTGTTAAAATGTTAGTTGCTAAAAAAGTAGATGTTAATGCTTTTTCAGCTGTTAAAGAAACAGCACTTATGATCGCTGCATATTATGACTTTAGCGACATAGCAGATTTTTTGTTGAAAAACAAAGCTGACCCACGCTTAGAGAATGAAAGTAATCTCTCCGCTCTAGACGTTGCAATTATGAAAAATAGTCTTGATACAATCCACTTATTATATGAATCATTAAAAGTAGAAGTTACCGATAAAACAAATCCTAAATTCAAACTCTTGCATGATGCAGCTTTTTACGGTAGAGCTGTAATGGCCAAATTTTTGATTGAACAGAAATTTGATGTTAACGGTCTTAATTTGAATGGAAATACACCTTTACATATGGCTGCCAGTGGTAACCGTTCATTAATAGTTGACATTTTGTTGGAGCATGGTGCACATTATGATTCTGAAAACTCTGAGAATAAAAAACCATGGAATTTAGCACAAGATGAATTAACAGTCTTTAAACTTAAAATAATAGATAGTTTGTTTACTTATGTTAAAGAAGGTGATTACAATGGGTGTTTAGATTGTTTGAGACGAAATGCTTTTGTAAATGCCAGAAATGTTTATTCTTTAACACCATTGCATTACGCATGCCAGAATGGTTTTTCTGATATTGTTAGACTTTTACTAGACTTCAATGCTGACATAAACATGACAGCTAACTATGGTACACCTCTTGTATATGCTGTTCTATTCGACCATTATAAGGTTGTTGAAACTTTACTAAAGTATGGTGCGGTTTATAATGTGGCAACTGAATTTGGCGGTAACTCTTTAGCGTATTTATCAAAAAATTTTGATATTATTTGTCTTTTAGAACTTATTGACAAAGTATTTGATGCAATTAAAAAATGTGACACTAGCATAGTTGATGAGATAAAAAAAATTAAAGATCTTGATATTTTGCACTGTATACTGAATACTCGCAATGAAAACAAACAACAATTATATCTTGAAGCACAAAATAGTAAATTTCCAGAGGAAAAATTGGCTGAAATTTATGGATGGGAAGCTTATTTATTCGTTGAAAAATGCAATTAAAAAAAAATATGCCAAGAATTTTAATAAAAAATAACAATGTTGCGAATTTTTTAAATTGTATAAAATAAATTATGGAATTTTTTCTCGATTTTAAGATGTATTTTGTACAATTATTTACACGAAAATGTATTATTGAAAAAAAAATGTCACAATATTGATAAGAAGATGATTAATGCTCAATAATGGAAATTTAATCAATTTTGTAATCATTTTATAAGTTTATAGAAAACTAATTGTATAAATAAATTTGAAAGATACAAAATTTCAAGCAAATACTCAGTGTTATTTTACCGATCATGTAATTTAATTGAATAAATAAATTTTATTATTGAAGAAAAAATTTTTTTTATGTAATTTTAGATTGACAAAAAGATTTTAATGTTACACTCAATACAATAATATGGAATACACTTCAATCAAAAAAATAATTTTTGAATAAAATAATATTTTTACATAATAAATTCTTTTCTTCAAGTATAAATCTCGTTTAATTATTTATTTCATAAATCATAACATCAAATATTTAGCCTAAGTATGAACATATTACCAATAAGTATGGATTATGAAATGTAAATAATTTACTTTTACTTAAAATTTTTCTTTGACATACAAACAAAAATTTAATTATAATGTCAATAAAAATTTGGATTAGCATTTTTATAATTTGAGATAAGAGGAAGAAACAATGTATTACCTATTAAATGGTGAAAATACATTTTTATATATTTTAGAATTATTTAGATGAAGAAAATTATCCAATGGTGAGTCAAATATCTATCGATAAAATTAAAAATAACAAAATATAATTTGTGATTAATTTTTAATATTTTATTTTTATCATTTGTTCCCCAAAGCTACGTTTGATTTATTAGTCAAGTGTTGTCATATCATATCATATCAATATCAGTTGAATATACTTCTGTTAATGATCAAACGCAGTTGAATTATCAATTGATTGGCACACTATTCAAATAAACAACCAGGAAACTACTAACAAATATACTGCATGAGTTATTAAAGACTAGTACTATTGTTATTGTTATTATAATTCAATAGATAGAAACTAATTTTTGTGTTCAACAAAAGCACGCGCACTCAGCCTTTTATAGTACAGAATTCCGAGAATTTGATTAATGTTGTTTACAATAAATAGTCATCACTATCATCATAAAAATATGTTTGAAAAATATCGAATTGTGCATACAAGTGTTCAAACAGTCAATTCTAAGCTTCATGATAGGGTTTATAATCGACAAAAGTCCAATAAAAACCATCAGATTATCCGAGCGCTTTAAACTGTACTCTAAAAAAATTAATTGGAGAAACTAGAGCATCAACAAAGTCAATAAACGTACATGATTTTGAGACTATTCGCACAGCAGCTCATGAATTGGCACACTTGTAAGTGATAACAACACATTTTATGAAATAAATTAATTATTCGAGTTGACTAAATATTTATAATTGATCTTCTATCATTATTTTTAGACTTGGTTCTTTTCATGATGGTGAATACAATAATTGTTCTTTTAAAGACGGTGCAATCATGACTAATTCTAGTGTTTATAATTTATTCTCTCAATATTCACATTCATTTTCACTATGCTCCATAGAAAACATCGAGTATTTATTAACGTAAGCAATAAAATTAAATTAAATTAGAAGGTTGTAGTTGTGGACGCTATTATTGTCAAAATTTATTTTTTAGTTAGTCGAATGCTTCTTGTGTATGGAATGAGCCTCTTCAGGGAAAACCATTACCCAGATTACTACCAGGAAAATTAATAGGCGTGGAATCGCAGTGTCAGGAAAGAGACGAAAATTTTAGAATTCCAGTTATAGAAGAACGTATGTGCAAAACACTTAGATGCAAAAATAAGGAAAATACGGAAGCTGATTATGGTGGTCGACCAGCAGCTGACGGGACTTCTTGCGCAAAAAATAAAATTTGTTTGCATGGGGAGTGTGTTGATGAAAAAAGTCTTAGCAAATCTTTAGTTTTATCAGACTCAAGTTTATTGATTAGACCTCTTGTTACCTTTGAAAAATCCTACTATATTGTAAATTTTAACGTTTAGGTGCCCTGAGAAAAAAAAATTTGAAAAATTACAGTTTTATTATAGAATTTTTACAAACTCTATAAGAAGAAAAATTACTTTCAGGTACATTTGTATAAAAAAAAATTTCAAGTATTGACTTCTAGTTTTAAAATGTATTTTTTACAGATATTGTTAAAATTATATTTTTAAACTAATTACAATTTACAATATAAACTGTAAAAAATCAACTATTCTTTTTTCTGTGTCTGTTAATTAATCATTTTCTATAAATTTATAATTTAGTGGTTACAATTATTGATGAATAAATAAATTTATTATATATTATCCAAACTTAATAATTAATTTTTTTGTTTATTGCAATTACATTTTGATAATAAAAACCATAAAAAATAATAAACTTTTTATTAAATCAAAATAAACTAAATAAAAAGAACAATTTCAAAAATATATAATAATAAAATTTTATTAAAAATATTAATTATTCACGTTTATATTGGTGACACGATCAATAGCCAATATTCTGTATTGTAAATATTTTATCTTCATATCATCGCTTTTTTTTTGTAGTAATGAAATTTATTTAAAATGCAACTTGATTGCATTTTATATAAGCTTAATTTCAATATATTACAGTGATATTTACTCTTCATTTAATTAAAATGCAACACAGTAATTAAACCAGCAACATATTAATAAATCCTCTTTTGAATAATATAATAAAAATGAGGTTTATGTTTGTTAATATTAAGAATATATTAATTAAAAAAACCAAAATTATAAATATTGTTTGCAAATTACCGGATGTCCAGAGAAAGAAGAAATTCCATCGCCTCGATCCTTGTTATCAAACTTTTCAATTTTTTCATACTTGGTATTCAGATTAACAAACAATATATGGTAACCGGAAGACAAAGCTATTATATCTTTGCCCAAAAACACTATATTATTAATGTCACCGAACTTGACCCACCTAAGAAAAAACAATAAGTCAATGAAAAATTAATTTTGATTGTTGTTTGTTATCAGATATACAGTTATTTATTTATTTATTTATTTATTTATTTATTTATTTACTTGGTGTCGTTAGCCGGCATTCTAGCAGAGAAACTTCATTTAAAAATAAACTCAATTGAATAGTAAACTTGGGTGAATAGTCACGTTGGTTCTTGTCGCCGGGAAACGCAAACAGTTCTTTATTGATTAAGAGAGGAGCTCAGGTGCCGAGCAAAGGAAGTTACTACTGTTTTCATATGATAATTCCTTTTATATATATAAACAAACTAGAAACAATGTTTATTGTAATTTTTGTTGAGTTTACGAGTAAAAACAAACAGAATACGTGTTTTTGCATGAAGAAATTTTTTTTTAGTGTAATAAATTATTACCAACTAAATTTCTTTAACACGCTGCATTTTATTTTTTTTTCTACATTTGAATAAATTTTTAAGACTGAATTTTTTATCCTAATAATTTTTTAATATGATTAATGTCTTAGAGAATTTTTGTAATTGAATATAATTAGAAATCGAAGTTTAAAAATTTTTTTGTAATTAATTAATTACACAAAAGAAGTCAATTTTTTAATAGTGAATAAATTTTTTTTGATTCACACGAAAATTAAATATAGATTAAAAATCTTAATTATGAAGCTAAAAATTTTTGACGATAGTATCAACACAAAATTTCCTCGAATAAAAAAAAATGAGTTAATTTAGTCCAAAAAAAATTGATGTTTCTATATTTATGACCCAAAATTACGTCAAGCTCAATTATAAATTAAAGAGTATACATTTACTGCACACTTTATCGCTCTCTAACAAATAACAAACCAGAGCACATGATGTACTTTCATTTAATGATCGGTGTTAGTCTTAATAATAAATAATTGTTAAATATTCCTCCATTTAGAATTCATTTTTCCGTTCTCAGGCAACAGAGACGGGATATTGTTCTCACTGGTAATAACCATCGAGCACTAAATACTAAGTACCCTGCTAAAATCTATTGAATTCTCCGTTCGCGCTTAATGCGCTATACGTTTCCCTGGCTATTCATTAATATAAATAAAATAGCTTCCTCCGTCTTAGTATTCACCATCCCGATTAATTAGACATCTATAATAATAATAATAATAATAATAATAATAATTGTTAAGTATATTTATATTTGTATAAGTATGTCACTGGATCAAATAAATGAATTATCGGGTAGTATTGTCTTTAACCGTTATCACAGACACTGGCAATACATAATAATGTGACTGCGCCTTTAAAAGAGTTCGATGTACGTCTTGTATTGGACACTTTCGCATTCTGAATACCTTATTCACTTACTACGTACTTACTTACTTAAATGCTCCTTACAATTGTATTTATGCATGCTTGTAAATTGATACTAAATTAATATTTTTTTTTTTTTTTTTTTTTTGTTTTAAGGGAATCATCATATTAATAAACAAAAAAATATTTTTAAAAACTGCGCTTGTACTTCATTAAATTTTCTACACTTGCGTTTTTTTTTTTTTAATAGTTAATTAAAAAAAAAAAACCTTTAAATGCAGAGAATTAGCATCAATAATTTTTGCTAAAATAAAAAATAATTTTTTACAAATAGGCTAAAATTATTCAAGTTTCTAATAAAACTAAATAATGTTTATTTAGAATAATAATCCGAATTAAATTTTCTATTATCCGTAATTAATTTTTCAGTAAATTTTTTACGACGATGACTTACAACAATTGTAAATAAAATTTACTGCCGAGAAATTTAATTATTTTTTCTTAAAATAAGGATAAAGAAGTTAAATAAGTAAGTGTTATGGTTGTAATTAGGAATGTATGCTCAAATTGTTGCCTGGTGGAGTAAAAAAATAACCCATGCCCCACTATATACCGGAGGCGTATATATACCTGCCGTTGCTTTAGAAATTTTTTTATTTGCTTCGTGTTAATCAGAGAGTGTTGTGTTTATAAATAGTTTTATAGTTGTTAGTTATATAGTATTGTAATTGTTGGCTTTTGGATGAGAAATTTGTGAATTTTTTGGACTTAAATGTGATTGTTGGTGAATTTCTTTAACTATTGGATTTTTTTTTTTTAATTAATCGAAAAGGTATTTTAATTATTAATTTTTTTTTATTATTCAAGAGAAAAATTCTTTTGAAAACAGCAGAAAAATTTTTTGACCAACTAAAATTTTTTATAGTTAAAAAAATATTCTACTTCATTTAATATGGCGAAACTCTTCAAAATAATTTTTTGGTCCGAATTCGTTTATCTTGAATCAAGTTTATTTTTTATCATTTAAAAAAATTTTTTTTTCTAAAATTTTTTGTACTATTAATTAAATCAAATTTCAAGTTAATTTATCGTAAATTTTTCTTCTATATATTCTATTTGTTACTAGTGTATAGGCTTTTTATGCCCCTTTACACCCCAAGCCTTTCGTAAATTTTTCTTATTTTATTTAAAAAATTTATTTGTTGTCGAAAATTCACTTAAAAATAGTTAACTAGTTATTAAATTGAATTAAAAAAAAAATCCTACGTAAATATAAAATCCGTTAAATAAATTTTAAAATGCACTTACAATCTGTAATTATGTATTCAACACCTTAAGCCATAGAAAAATCTGTTAGTAGACACTTATTCTAAAATATTTCCATTTCTATGGAAGAAATTTACAAACAAATTACACATTACAGCATTAAAAAAGAAGAAATTTAAATAATTTTTAAATTAAATTGTAAGAAATACGAAAAATTTCCAGTAGAAAATTTCCTATTTTCAAATTTTTTTAAATTTCTAGCAAGAAATAATTTGAAAGTATTTTTTCTACATTTAATTAATTTTTATAGCTTCAAAATGGTTTATTCAATATTTTTTTGAAGAAATAAATTTTCAAATTTCAAAAACTCAGATTAAAAACAATAATTATCAATAACATAAAAGCGCTTATGATTCTAGGGCACGCGATACTACGACATCAGAACAAAACGACAATGAGGGGACAAATGAGAAAATTGACAGTGTCAAGCGTTCTGTTAATTTTGTCAATTCTAACGGGGATTGTTAACTCGATCGACGTTGCTCCAGTTAAACCTACGACTAAAGATCCTGTTCCAACAAGTTCATCAGCCCTAAAACTCGAAGCAAGATCTGATCCGCTCGATAATGAGCACGACAGTGCAACAGCGACAGCGATACTGAATTCAACCTCTACTTCTTCCAATAGTTTTCCGGTTTACCCGAGATCCAACGATAAGTCGAGCCTATCTGATCAAACTGTGAGTCTGAATACCAAAGATACTTATCTGGAGGCGCTGGAGCACTCCCACTCAAGTAAAGATCCACGTGAAGGCGTTGTCAAAGTTGACTCAAGGCCCAAGAGCACTAAATTTGTCCGTAGGACTTACGAAGGTCCTGTTTACCGGCCCGAGTATGGTCCACCGTCAGATAATACCAATCCGCGAATCGTTCATGGAACCAGCCAAGAGTATCCGTCCCAGTCGTCAAATGAGTTGTATTCATTGCCGGCTCAGCAGACTCAATATGGCGCACCAGCGGCTCCACAGACTAATTATGGTGCTCCTAGTAGCAGTTATGGGACTCCTAGTAGCAGCTATGGTGTTCCTAGTAGCAATTATGGAACCCCTAGTAACAGTTATGGCGTTCCTAGTAGTAGTTATGGTGCTCCTAGTAGCAGTTATGGCACTCCTAGCAGTAGTTATGGTACTCCTAGCAGTAGTTATGGTTCTCCTAGTACTAGTTATGGATCTGTTCAACCTCAAAATTCTTATGGACCGTCAAATAGTTATTTACCCGCTAATAGACCTACGCAAGGTGAGGCTCGAGGTAGTGTATGGATTAACAAATTTTTTTGAATCAAGATTGCACTTATTGAAAGAAATTATCAGGAAAAATAGTCTATATCTTATCATAAATGACCATATCGACGGTCTAATTAGCAATTGGTCTAACTCCTTATTTTTTAGAGGGTAATTTTTTGACATTTTGATGTAGCAATAATCCAATTATAAATTATTTGAATGATTCAAACCTAAATATTATATCTCTATTAGATATTAATGATATTAAATGGTCTTTTAAAGTGATAATAAATTTTGAACTAATTGTTTTTTTCGTACAAATAGAAGATTTTGTAAAATGGAGTTAGACAATTTGTTAATTAGAACGTCGATATGTGATTCTATGAATCTGATATGCTTGATCAATAATCACATATATCTAATCATACACAATTATTTACAACTAATCATATATGATCATTTAAAAATAATCATGTATGATCTTTCAAGTCTGATCATCTGTAATCACAAATATCTGATCAGATATGATCTTATATGAGTAAATACACATGTTGATATATGATTTCTTTATCGATAAAATGAGGTTGAATTTTATTCATATAAAATCTCCTAAAATTTAAAAACTAATTTTTAAATTAATAAAAAATAAAATTGAATGAAATTTATCATGGATTAGATTAAATTAAGTAAAACTATGGACCGGAATGGTAAACAACGGTTCAAATATATACATAATTTGTATAATAATAATTAACATATTGTTCAGGATATGGAAGTGGATGGAATGGGTATGCACTACCCCAACTGATGCCAGCGATCGATTTCTCCTGGCCATTTGCATTGAAATTAAACGCCTTCACTATTGCTAAAATACTTTTGAAATTAGTAATATTCAAAATGATCGTCAAATTTATAGCTGTTATATGCTTGTTATTATTTATCCCGAAGCTGGAGATGAAAAATAACGACGATGACAGCGATGATGATGAAAGCCGTGTATTTAAATGTAAGTTCTATTTTATATTCTACCTCTCTTTATGATAATATTTTTCTCGTATATGCGCACTTAAATTCAATAATAAAATAATTACGGTACGTGACAATTTTTGCACTTAAATTTAACGTTAAATACATTGATATATAGCTTCCGCCGCCAACGTTAATGTAGTTTAGCTATAATAATAATAAAATAATATAATGTAATAAAAAAACATATCTATACATCTATACTTTGACATTGTATGCATAATTATTTAATGACTCGATGAATCACATAATCATATTGTTGATCTACGTATCGGGTTTTGTTTGCTTTTAACTGACTTTATTTAACTTTTTACATCAAGGCTATTGCGGTATTGCAAGCGTGTTTTACTTTTCATGAAAAATTAAACAATTAAGTTTTTCTTAATTGAAATATAAAAATTAATTAAATTACTTTTAAGTAAAAAAAATTTTATCGCATAATGTAATTAATATAAAACTTTTTCACATGAAATTTTCATTTTTTTGATAATTTTTTTGTCCAATTTTTAAAACTCATAAAATTATGATAACTTTCAAAAAATAGTATTAAGCTAAAAATTTTCTGTTTTAAAAATATAAAAAAAAAACGAATTAAAAATTTTTTATGAAAAATTTCTATTAAAAATATTTTATTTCTTCACCAGAAAATTTTGACTATTTAAAAATTTTTTTTTGCAGCTACTTCTGCTCTTGAGCGCCTTAATTCACTTACGGCAACTGTCTTAGATTCAATTGACGAATACAAGGTCAAAAATAATAATAACAACGAAAAAAGTATCAAAAGTAAAAACTGCAATGATTTAAGCTGCCGTTTGAAGAAAATTTTATTATCAAATGAATCATGGAGTAGTTACATAAATTTATTCAAAAATTACGTCGCTGAAGAAAAATACATGAGTACTGATAGTAAAACATAATTAAGTTATTGTTATTAGCTTTTATTTATTATTTATTATTATTTATAATTACGATTACTAAAACTGCCATGTACTTAATTTATTTAATTTATGTAAAATAAAAGAATTTTTATTAAAAGTATTTGGTTTTATTTCGTGAGTTATTTGAATAGTTTCGTAAAATTATTTAAATTGAAGGTGAAAGAGTGAAGGCGTCCTAATTTGACTCACGTACTTTATGAATGAGTTTAATTAAATTTTTGTACTGTAGATTGATTCATTCAGTGTGTGCATTATGTAGTTCAACAGTTTGCAGTTCGTAGTTTCGCAGAATGAAAGCGCTTTCGATTTGAAAGAGCTGGAACAGTGACCTGGAGGACGATAAGAAGATCAAGGGTATTTAGCAATTCAAATGAACGTTTGTGAGGGATAAGAGACGTGAAAGCACTCGGGTAAAGCTGCAGTATTATGATAAAATTAAGTCTAATGATTCTATAGATATTTTATTATGCAACATCATTATTATGCTCTAAAACTACCAAATTAAAATTTGGAAAAGTCCAGGCTAATTATTAATAAAAATAATTTTTTTTCGCGTATTAAGTTTTTATTAAAAAAAAATTTTTTTATATCGTATAAAAAAAATCGACATTCTTTTAAAAATAATCTTGAAATTTTATCAAAACTTGGAAAAAATTTTTCATAACTGGAATTTTATATCTCGTACCACAATCAACGTAACAAAAAATATTATTTATATTTTTTTATGGAAAATTGAACGATTTAAAAAAAGGTTTCGTGTCGTTTTTTGATAAATTCATCCTCTTAAAAGTTATTCAAGGTTAAAGTTGGAAATATTCTAAATTTTTGGTTTTTTTTTTCATTTTCGATAATATAATCATTGTAAATAAAAATTTCTCATATATATAAAAAAATATATAATTTCTATTTATTATAAATTATAACTAAAAATTGAAAATTAATTTCATTAAAATAGTTATGATTCAATTTTAAAGGTACATTTATTTTGTTATTATGTGTAGTAATTTCAATTACGGTTTCATATTTTTTTTTTTTGAGTATAATTATACACACAAAAAATAAATTTCTTGTGTCAAGAAAATTTTAAGGAAAACAAAAGTTATTTTGGAGCAAGAAAAAATTTTCTTGGCTCAAGAAACTTTGACTTCATTCAAGAAATTTTCAACCTTCCTTAATATTTTCTTGAGCCAAGAAAATTTACACTCCAGTCAAGAATTTTTTTTTTTCAGTGTAATATTTCTATCAAAACACAACTCGCAATAACTTGACAAACCATATCTATTCCGTCTTATGTACAAAAATTAATCCTCAAAAACGTAGTTTTATAATTAATCTTAAACAAAAAAAAAAAAACTAAGCAGAAACTGGTAACTGGAAGTAATTACACAATGAAAATGATCGACAAATAGACCTTTAAAGTACTGCGCGTGAAATAGTTTTGATTTATTCAAACATTATCGTCCAATGAACGGGAAGTTTCCACCCCACTTCCGCTAGCGAAAAAAATTTGGGTCATCATTCATCCAGTGGGTGAGCATGAACTTTGATATAAATCGCAATCGCTGATTCTTTGTTCAATTTTTCCTTTTTGCTCAGGTCATTTGTCGTTTGCTCGCTAATTCGTCTAAAAAGATTATCTGCTCAGATGATTGAATAATTTTAAAAACTAAAAAAAAAAAAATTAAATTAGATGACCCATAAAAATTGTAGCCTCGAAAAATCATGTCACCTAAGACGATAATTGTGGTCTGTAGCGCGGAATTAATTACTGCTAGCATAACCATCACTGGAAATAAATAATTCAAGGATATTACACATATGTATTTACATTTAATAAATTTTTATTGGCGAGTAATTGTGGAATAAAAAAAGCCGTAAACCTCTATTACATTAACTTTACAATTTGTACGTGATACAATCTAACTCGTCGCCATTCAAACAGTTGGGAGTGGGGGAACGGAGAAGCTATGGGTAAATTGGCGAACTGATATACCAGGTCATCGTAATCGGTGTAAGCTAGTTAAGTAATGTCGCGGTAAATAGTATCATCTAATTATTAAAATGAGAAAGAAGAGGAAGAGGAGGAAATAAAAGGACGTAGAAAGCAAAAGTGAGCCAGTATTCACCGGACACTTGAATAACTTAATGTAGAACCAACCGGCCCATCATTTATTTGATGATGATGATAATAATGCTGCTCAGGTTACCAGGTGGGGGAGTTTACGACAATTGGTTATAAACGCGGATGCTGGACGTATCTTGTATCCAGTCACTATTGTATTATCCTACTGAGCGCTCATTAATTGTACCGGTATTCTTTTTTATCTGTTTTATTAATTATTGCTTTGTGGTTGGTAGCTTTTTTGTTCCAAGATGAGAACCTTTATTGTTATTGGTAAGAACTTTTTATTTTGTTATTTTATGGATTGATTTTTGTTGATAAAAATTTTATGCAAATAGTGAATTATATTATTTTGGATTTAATTAATTTGTTTATAAAATTTAAGGACTTTTTTTATTGATATATAAAAAGTGAATGATTTGTTGATTATTGATTGAACGAATTAAGAACATTTTTTAAAGGGAATATTTTTATTTTAATAGTAATAATTCTGTTTTGTTAAAGCGATTTTTAAATTTATTTAAAAAGCAACTAAATTTTGTATATTGTGATTAAAAGTATTGAAAAATCATAAAGCCAGTTTTTTTTTTAATTGTAATTTGTAGTTAAATATTATTGTGACTGGAAATTGGTAATGTTTTATTATGGAGTTCTAGTTTCGTGTAGAAAAAAAATTTTGAGTCAATTAATTGGCTGTAAAAAAAATATTGGGGATAAATTGATAAATATTTAGGAACATGGACTTAGAAAAAAAAAAAGATTAGGAAGAAATACACAAATATTGGAATAAAATGACTTTTAGAAAAAAAAGTATTGAGAAGAAATCAAGAAAAATAGGAAATATTCGGATGTGTATAATCAAAAATATTGGGACGAAAAGAAGAAATGTTAAAAATAATTAACTATTGGGAAAAAATGCAGAAATATTAAAAAATTAACTTTTATTAAAAAAAATTTGAGAAAATTTTTTTAGAAAAGAAGAAACATTGGGAAAAAATAAAAAAATATTGAAAAAATTAATTTATGAAAGAAAAAACAGTGGTAAGAAATTATAAACAAAAATTAAATTTAGCTTATATAAAATAATTTCTTAAATTAGGAAGAATTTTCTTACAAAAATTACTGTACCAATTATACAATAAGAATAGAGTTTATATTATTTTTCAATTGTTTTATTAATGAGTATTTATATTTTTATTGAGATGAATAAATTTTTTCTTGGCTTTAAGAAAATGAATTATGATTCAAAGAATAAACTATTTCGAAGTAATTATTATTTATTCATTAAAGTAAATTTTTCTCAATAAAAATAATGTTATTGACATCACTGAATAATATTATACATAAATAGTTAAAATAAATCTTCATGGAAGCTTAAAATTTTTCTTTTCAATAATTCAATAATTTCAGTTTCTATCAATAAATAAATTTCACCTTTCACTTTAGCTATTAAACTTTCAAATTTTCAACTTATTAAAATTTACTTTACAGCACTATTCGCAGTGTGTATCGTAGCGCTCTGCAATGAAGCCTCTGCTTCCCCAGCAGACGACAAAACGAAAGAAATGAAGCCAGGATCGACGACGCCGAAGAGCGTAAAAGACGCCCAGAAGAAAGACGAAAAATCGAAAACATTCAAGAAAGAGTGTGTGAAAAACTGCCCGACGACTTTTGAGCCCGTGTGCGCACACGACCCCGCTAACCCCAACTTCAAGCCTCGTACTCTCGCCAATCAATGTACTATGGATACCGTCGCCTGCGAAATGGGACTTAGTAAGTAATCGTTTTTACATGCAAAAAAATATAATCAAAATCTGTTTAAAAAAATTAAATTTTTTTTTGTAGAACTCGCGGTCAAAAACAAGGGTGAATGTCCTGGCTCAGGTGGCGTCCGATTATCTTAAACAAAACTCCAAGCAAACTCCGATGTACTCAATATAAATTACATGCACCTATTAACGGATTAACATTTAAATTGTAGATATTGTAAGTAATTAGATTACCCAATAAAGTGAAATAAAAAAAAAAATAAATCAAAATTGATTGTAAGGGTTCAATTTATTTAATTTAATTTAATTAAATAATTTATAAATAAATAAATTAATTGATTACTAGTTCATTCCCCTCGTAATATGAGCTCTTAATAATTGCTGAACAATAAGATCCATAATAAATATTTACTGGTCGAATTAATGAGGATGCTTACTTGGTATTTTAGCATGGGGAGTCATAGTCATAGTCAGTAACTCGCGAGATTTCACGGGAATATGTTTTCGCAATGTCCAGTCCCAGATGTTTCAATTTTTCTCTAGAATCCCAATTAAAATTATTTATCATTTTTTGTATTGTTTTTGTGGGTGTTGTAAATAGTAACAGCTTGTGCAAGGACAAGAAAAGTTGCGATGAATATGAGAGCGAGGGTAAGGACGAAGAGAGAAAACTAAACATCGAAGATGTCGAGAGCAGAGTTTCTAGGCTGGAGCGACGCTTACGGGCAATGGAACAACCAGGTATAAGTTTGATAATGATAATAATTATAATGAATTCATGCATAATTTAATGAATTAGACGATGCGGGTCGGTGTCTTTGTTAACTAACTCCCTTTTACACTTGGGTTTAGTTTGGCAAATTCGGGGCTGGCCGGAGGACTGGGAAGTTTGTGTAGAAGGTCCTTGTAAGTGCAGACCGGAAACAAAGTCCATTTCTTGCTGGCGTTATGGTCTATTTGACGTTCCGGCTGGCCAACTTGTTCCACAGGATATAATTAAATTGTAATTTGCATTTTTTCTTTTGGGAGTTTGAGTTGTTGGAAAAAGAAGGGTAATTTATTCAGGATATTATTTTCAGGGACCTTGGGAGCAATCAGTTGACGGCTTTGCATAGGGATACGTTTAGAAATTTGACTGAACTAAAGGATTTGTGAGTTTTTTTTAACATCAAAATTATATGAAAGTTAATAGAAGATTAGTGTGACCATATATGATCATATGTAGTCACATACGTGGTCGTATAGTTTGGCTTGACCACATATGACCCGTATGATCATATATAATCACATAAATGATCATAGGTCATCGTATATGCAATCATACATTACAACACATGATCATAAGTGACCATAATGGTATTATGTGATCATATGTGGCTCCATATACAATTGTATGTGATCGTTCGTAGTCATATATGATCGTATGGAGCATAATAGGAATATGTAGTTACATCCATGATCGTATTCGACCAAATGTATGGCTCTACGCGGTCATACTGGTCCCGTAGAGTGGACCATACATGGCGACCATACATGGAGACCATATATGGTGGACCATACTGGTGATCATGTGTAATCATATGTGATCACTGATCACGCATATTTTTGTATAGAACACAATTATATATATATATATATATATATATATATAAAAAAAAAATAAATAATTTTTTTCAGAGACTTGAGTAATAATATGATCGAACATTTGCCATTAAATTCATTCTACTCCCTCTACAGTATCACCCACTTACGATTCAGTAAAAATTTACTCCGTGATCTTCATCAGAATTTATTTTTACGCATGCGTTATCTCGAGATTGTGTAAGTAAACTTATTGTTTCAAAAAAAATAAAATAAAATAGAAATTAACAATGAATTCTTAAAACTTTTAGAGATTTATCTTCAAATAAATTGCAAACATTACCGGAAGGTTTGTTCGTCGCGAACACAGCCCTCCTTCTACTAGACATCTCTTCCAACAAAATATCAGAACTACCCACAGACATTTTCTTCAATCTCAAAGAGCTCGAAGATCTCTTGCTTTCAAAGAACCAATTATCTCACCTCGATAAGAATATCTTCAAGGACTTGATAAACTTAAAGTGCCTCAAATTGGAGGAAAACCACCTTCGCGAGCTCCAAATTGGGCTCTTTGACTCGCTTGGAAATTTGATTGAACTGATCCTTAGGGATAATCAAATAAAAGTTATCCCTGCGGATTTATTCATAAATTTGGAGGCTCTAACTACTTTGGATCTATCTAATAATTTGATAAGTCAAGTAATCATCTCCTTTTTTTTTAATCAATTAGTATTTAGAAATTCTAATTGGATCTTGAATTCCCAGTTAAACAAAGAAGCTTTCACTGGACTGAAAGCGTTGAAAGAATTGAGGTTAGGCAAAAATCATATAAAAGTCCTTCCAAAAGGTATATTTCTTCAGACACCTGCATTACAGCAATTGGTACTTTACGGCAATGCTTTAGAAAAATTATCCGACGGAGACTTTCAAGGACTGGGAAATTTAACATCTTTATTTCTTCATTCAAACCGAATTCGTCGTCTGCAGTCAGATGTTTTAAAAGATACTCCTTTTTTGAAAAAACTGTAAGTATTTGTTTGTGTTAAAATTTCAATTCATTTTTTATCTACTTATATTTCTTCTTTATTTTTAGCCCCAAACTTTTTTTTTTTTATTTTACTTCATTATTTTATTCAATATTTTTCGACTAAAATTATAAATTTAATTATTTTATAGACAGTTAGAAAGCAATCAGCTGTCTTACGTGCCTGGCCGTTTTTTAGATAGCGTACCAATGATTCAGCAGTTACGGCTCTCCCGTAATCCTTGGCATTGTGATTGCGAAGTTGCTTATCTCGCAATGTGGCTCAGAAAGATGTACTTCGCCCGGAATAATCACAATATTAATTCTAATAATCACAATACTAATGATAACAATAATAACAGTAATAGTAATAATAATAATAGTAAAAACAACACTAATAGTATTGCTGAAAAAAATGTGAACCGCAGTAACTTTTGGCAATCCGGGGCCGGCGCAATTTGCCTCGGTCCAGGTACTCTGGGCGGTAAATTGGTTATCGAATTGACGTTTCATCAGCTCTGCGACGGGCAATGGGCTTCAATGAGAGGATTAGCGCCAAGATTACCCGTCGAACTTCTCACTCCTTCGCCGCCCAAGTCTGTACAATAATTAACAATTTTTCACTCAAAATAATTCTAAAATTAATGTCAAACATAGATAAATTTTGTTAGAAATATTAATTATTATTGTTATTAATATTTTTATCGTATACTGATAAAACATTTTTGATAGGATAATATAAAACAAGTTATGGTAAAAAATTATTGTTAGCATGTAGATATAATAAATCATATGTTATGATAACCAAACATAGATTTTAATACAGTTTTATTTTTGTAGCAAACCCTTAAGTTAGTTCAACGTTGAAATTTATTAAAAAAAATTTTTTTTATATTTTCTTGAATTGTAATATCTCGAAAATATTTGTTGAAAATTTTAAGTAAATTTAATTAATAGTTTCCGAGATACCTTATCGTAGAAAGCTTCCAATTGCTTAGAAATTGTTTAAAAAAAATTTTTTTCAAGCGGATTTGTTATTGCAACTTGGCTTACTTTGTTAAAATAACTAATCAATTTATTGCTAAAAGTAAACTTATTTCCTGCTATAATATATTTTTCTGTAATCCATATTTTGTTATAAAAATTTGTATCTTTCCTAATTTTTAATAAATGTAATAGTTATTATCTAATCAGATAGTATCTTGCATATATAGGTCACAAGTGGTGGGAATTTAATTGCTAGACTTAAAATGTAGTATAACTGGTTACATAGAAATTTTTTCATGTAGTTAGTATACATACTACTAGTGGGCATGATGGACGATGTGACTTCCAATTCAACATCAGCGAGCGAAAAATCGTTTGACACTGAAAAATTGTTGGTAGAGCTATTGAAGATATTGAAAGATGAAAAAATGTTTGATACTACCGGTGAATTTCCGGTGGTTGAATTTTTACATCCTCATCAACTTCAGGTAAATTTATTATTATTGTTGATTACATTTTTGATGAAATAATCTTATTTAATTTAAAAAAAAAAGTTGTACACGGAAAAAAATTTAATTGTCTCATAGCTAATCCAAAATCAGACTTTTAATATCATCACTTCCATAATTTGTCTTTCAAATTAGTAAATACAAAGAAAATTTCTTATTGCTTTAATTTTGACATAAATTTCTGATATCTTGTTCTTTCAGAAAAAAATAGATCTCAAATTGAAGGATGAAGGCTGCGATGATTCAGAAATAAAGACTTTAGTCCGTAAATTTGCGCACTATTCTGTCAAGACAACTCATTTGCATTTCCACAATCAATTATTCTCCGGAGTTGACAGTTACGCTCTGGCAGGTGCTGTGGTAACAGAATGTTGCAACACATTTCCGTGAGAATCAATTGTTATGATAGTACTGTAACAAATTGATTAATCACGACGAGTATTTTATATTAAAAATTTCAGAGTTACATTTGAAGTAGCGCCGGTGGTTCAATTGATAGAGCGAGAATTACTGGACCGAGTTCTGAGACTAGTAAACTACCCTGCTTATCCAAATGCTGATGGAATCATGTGTCCTGGTGGAAGCATGTCGAACATGTATGGGATGGTATTAGCACGGTACTCACGTATTCCTGAGATAAAGACTAAAGGTCTCAGTGGCTTGCTACCGTTATCAATGTTTACTAGCGAATTGGGACATTATTCCATTTCAAAAGCAGCACATTGGCTGGGTTTTGGCACCGACAACGTTTATACGGTGATTAATTCTGAAACAATAGAATCTGGGTGACGATTCGCGTTTATTGTAGCGATAAATGGAATTGTTAAAGTACCAAGAGTTTTTTTTTTGTCATTGAATTTAGATAAAAACCGACGAACTAGGACGCATGGACCCAGAGGATTTGAAAAAAAATATAAAAGACGCGAGAGCGCGGGGAACGATTCCATTCTTTGTAAACGCTACTGCTGGGACGACTGTGGTTGGTTCTATTGATCCGCTTGAAGATATTGCTGCTATTTGCAAGCAAGAGAATCTCTGGTTTCATATCGATGTATGTTTTATTTGTTGGTAAATTTATTGCAAAAGGTACTTTATTTTATAAAATTTTTCCAGGCTTGCTTGGGCGGGTCTTTGCTGCTCTCAACAAAATATCGTGATCGATTGAAAGGCGTTGAGTTGTACGTATTTATTCACTTTATTATCTTTTTTAACTGTGACGATTCATTTAAACGGAGTAATATTGTTATGGTCTGCTATTTTAATTATTTAGATCGGATTCAATGTCATGGAACCCGCATAAAATGCTCGGCGCGCCTCTGCAGTGTTCGCTGTTTTTAGTCAGACGTAGGAATTTGTTGTACGAAGCTAATTGCTCCGGAGCGACGTATTTATTTCAGCAGGATAAATTTTATGACGTCTCCTGGGACACTGGGGACAAAAGTGTTCAATGCGGCAGAAAGGTTACTATTGTTTCAATAATACAAATCAATAAATCGACACGGAATAAATGATTATCAATCGGTGATACTAACTTGTTTGAATAAATAAATCCAGGTGGATGCTGTTAAATTATGGCTGATGTGGAAGGCAAGAGGCACCAACGGACTCGGGTTATCCGTTGACATCGCCATGGACTGTGCCGATTATTTTTTCAACAAAATAAAAGATCGCAACGGCTACAGACTTGTCTTCCCAAAATACCAGGGCAACACCATCAGCTTCTGGTAAGTTATTCACCATCCACAATGATCACCAGCTTTACAAATCTTTTTATCAACGAATTTATTGATTTTTTTAAAGGTATATACCTCCGAGCATGAGAGGCCAACCGGAAACCCAAGAATGGTGGGACAAATTGTACGCATTAACCGCTAAAATAAAAGAACTTTTGGTGTTGGATGGCCGTTTATTAATCAGCTACAATCCGCTGACGAGTAAAAAAATCGGTAACTTTTTCCGAATGGTCGTTTCTTGCCAACCGACACCTACTTATCAATCCATGGATTTCGTTCTCGAACAAATTGAATTAATAGCTCATAAATTATGACCCCTTAGTTGTTTTATTTTTATTAATTTATTGTAAACTAAGTCATAATTAGTAACTTATGTTGTACAATCATCAATATATATAAATTGTCAAATATAACGATTATACTAGTGACTTTACTTCACATCGTAGTAGTCATTATCTTCAGACAGAGCGTGTTAATAAGATGAAAACTGTCTGAAGGTCTTGTCCTATCAGTTTGATATTATTAAAGATTTATGTTCTTTATAACATTATCACATATGGATTATTCCTTTCATTAATAAAGTTGTAGTCGGATCACGCTCAAGGAGAACGTTTGATAAATTTTTAATTTAATGCGATTAGATTTACTTGATGTTATATCTTGAATCTTGCTTGACCTTTAGCCTCTGTATTATTAAAAATTAATGAAAAATTTAATAACGTTCAATGGCATAAGTAAGTAAGTTCATTTAATGCAACAACAATTATAATCATTTACTGTGTAATATACGAGAGAAGAGCTGAAAGTATCCACTGTACAGTATGTTTAGCCACAAACCTGACTTCCATGATATCGCTCATATCCAAGTAAAGAAATAGTGGAGGGGGTTACTAGTAGTTGACGGTATTTTCCCTTCGGTTCAGTGTACGTACAATCTACTTGTTTGCACGATGTCTGAAGTTTCTTCTGCTACTTTGTCCGCTTTTACGCATGGAAATAATATTGACACTAAAAAATTACTTGAAGAAGTATTAGATATTTTAAATGAAGAAAATGTTTTTGATACTACTGGACAATTTCCTGTTGTTAAATTTTTACACCCTCATGAACTTCAGGTAAATAAATTTATTCATTAATTTATTAATTATAAAATAATAATAATCTAAAATAAATTAGTCAAATAATTATTTATTACTTTGCACTTGACCATTTCTTTAAGTTTAAAAATATTTCATCATTCTGACATTGGCATTGTATTGCAATAAAATATAATCAAATCACGATTAAAATAATTAAATTAATGTATAAACACTCATAGAGTGATTGAGTATAATTGTTTATGTGTGGATGCAAGTATATAAGGAATCTTTTTTATTTCTGTTAGTTTTATGGCAGTAACAGGACTTTCAGATATTTTTATTTTTCTTATTTTCTTCAATATTTTATGCTTGTTTAATAATTGACGAATATCACTGATTGAATACACATGAATGTAACCTACAATAAACATTTTTATTAAAAAAATAGGTTTTAGCAAATAAGAGTACTGACAAGAGATTGTAGTCTTACCTGAACTTAAACCAATAAATAACATATTAGCATGCATAGCGATACTTGTCGGATGGATACCATCTTTCAAAGTCATTTCATGGGATTCCCATTTGTCATCACCTTCTAATAACAAGTCTACCCCAACCGTCAAAAATCGATCTGAAAATAATTTGAATTTGAAGTTATTACTTTGGATAATTAATGATTTGTAATATTGTAATTAATTACTGTGAACCATAATGGCAGTATTCGAGTTTGGCATGATCATCAATTGATCTTTCGGTTTTCTAAAATTAACATCATTGGGATTGTAGAGTTGAGTTTCAATAACAGTAGGGAAAACTTCAGTCAATGGTAATTCATAAGATAGTATTTTTAATTTTTGGTCCATACAGATCATCATTTGGAACTGTAATGAGTAAAAACAAATTGATTGTAATTTTTTTTATTAGGTATTATTGCCATTTCATACGAAAATAATATGTATGATTTTTTTTCAAATGTGATTCAAAAATTTTTTTGCACGACTCATAATGCAAATCATTTGAATTATAAATTACTTTAATACTTAGCTGACAGTTATAAATTTTCTTTTTTTTTTTTTTTTTTTATTTTACTCTTTCAATGAGCAATATAAGTCATATATTTTTTGTAAAAAATTCACTGAGGATTATGAGTGGACTTTAAAATTTTCCAAACTTTTTTTTCCAAAATATACATAGGGTAAAAGACCCCATTAGTGGCGGGGATCCCATTACTGACACTTTTTTTGATTTTGGTTCTTATTAAATTAATGAAATCGTTAACTTCAATAATGAATATATTTATAATCTTTAAGACCATTAGATTGAAAAAATTTTTAATTTTTATTCCAAGTAGAAGATTTTTTCATTAAAAGAAAAAGTGCAACTAATAGGGGTTGAAGGTACCACTAATGGGGTCTTTTACCTTACCCGTTTATCTTCACTAGACATTTGATAAATCTCAATATTTCCATCGAATTCTAAAGAATAATCAATCGTTGTTGAACCTTCCTCAACCAAAAGATTTTCTCTTGAGTTAAATGAGTACTCTTTAATTGAAGACCCTGTTTCTAAGAAAAATCTATTGTTCAAACCGACACTGAAATGTAAATTTAAAGTGAAATTAGTAACATTAAGAATTTTCAATAAAATACTTTTAACTCTACCAAAAATTTAATCCACTCAATTCAATTGCCATTGTCTTTCGACGGCTTACACTCCAAAATGATAAGTGGTTATATTAATCCATTACTATTAAGATCAAATGGCTACCTAAAACAAAAAATATTGTAAATAATGTTTTTGAAAATTTGAACCTTGTAAAAAATTGAACAAACTTACCTGCATACCAAAATTCCATTCGAGTCACAGCTATAAAATTATTTACGTCAAATAGAGGTTGATCTAAGTTAGGAAGTTCGTAAAAATATATTGATGCCTCGCTGGTTGCGATTGCTAAATTATTTGCTAAAATTAAATTTCAAAAATTTTATTGATGTTAAAATTATGTCATAGAATATTAGTTGATAGATTTTTAACATTAAAAATTTTAAGAAAATAGATTATTTACTTGAAAAAAATCTTTGTTTGGCGCCAATTCTTAAAAAAAAGAGCCAAACTATTGTATCGTATAAAAAAGAACCAAAAAAGTGTCTCTTAGAAAAAAAAAATATTATGTAGGTTTAAACTTAAAAAATTTTATGCTGTTAATAATATTTTTCTATAAATGTTGACCTCTGTCCAAAAAAAAACAAACTTTTGAGACCAATTTCTAAAAAAATGCATTTATTTTTCGAATAAATATTTTTTGTAGGTTTTGATTTTTGATTTTATTTACTATGCCAAGGCTAAGGCTAGATTACAAATTTTAATGATATATTTTAATTTTAAGTAAAACATTCAAAACATTTTTTTTTTCTTCATTCTTATTATATTTTGTTGTAATTAAAACTTTCTTTCATGGATAATTGATAAAGTGATAAATTACTCACACTATAGTCTACTTTGATAATTATCAATTTGACGGATGATAAAATACATATCTATATTATAGACAATATTAACCGTAATCATTCATTAATGTAATGTCGATAATCCGAGGTGACATTTTTTCAATTATCTACCAGAAATTAAACTCCTATATTATTCATAAAGTATTTCATGAAAATTTTGTCAACTAGTGATTATTAATCATTAATGATTGACGATTAATAATTAAACATTGTGCATTACCCCACACAGCGATGCAATCAATATTTTCATTATACTCCAGAAAAATTTTTTACTTGACATGTTCTAATTGACACATCGTTGCTACGATTTGCGAACAGTCTCCATTTTCTGTACGACAGAACCATCTTCCGCCAAGATTTCTGGCGCGTCAGTTCCCATGTTGTGTCTTCAGTTTTCGGGAAAATCATCGAAAGAATTCTATGCTTCCACGATAACATTTTATTAGTGAATAAATTTTCCCATACTCTTCTCTCGAGCACTATAGAGGTTCTATCAGCGAATAAAAAGTGTAATTTACGCGGCGCAATTTTATTAAATCCTTGCCGTTGGTAATTTTGGTGAGAATCATTTTCCAAATTTCGTTCGGAAACATTTTTTGATAATTTTAAGAATAAATAAACTGTATTTTGTTGAATTAAAACTGACAATTTTAATTAAAATATTCAACATGTATTTCGATCGTTAATCATAATAAATATAAACATTGATGATTTTGTCAGCAGAATAATCATAACGTAAAAGGGGAGAAATTCCTTCTGACAGCTACAAAATGAGTCATTTTTGATAAGTTTTTTATTTACCTGATAAAATAATCATATCATTTTTAAGTTTTAACATTATTTTATTTGAGCTTTGAAGAATGCAAGAACTATTCTTTTTTTAAAAAATGACGAATCACTTGTCGCTCCTTTTCACATTGAGGTGAAAAAAAAATGCGTTCTATTTCTGACATGTTTCTTTAAAATAATAAAAAAGTATAAAATTAAAAATAAAGTAAGCTCTTTAAAAAATTACAGATTTTGTACTATTATGTTCGACATTTGTTCATCCTAAAAAAGTAGTTTTATTTACAGAAAATTTTTAAAACTTTAGATAGATCCTTCCGATAATGATACTAAGCAAAGCAGAACGAAATTTCAGTCAAATCGATAAATCACTTTTAAAGTTACCGCACGAGCAGTTTTAAAATACACTTTCGATAAAATCAAGTTTGAAGTTTCCGTACGATGAATAAAATGAATAAATCGAACTCCGGCACTCTTAAATATGTGCAATAACTCCCTAAATATTAAATATTTTGATTTTTCTTCTTGTCAGTATTCTTTCAATTATATTTACTAAATATAAAAAAAACTTAATTTGTTTGAAATTTATGCAGAAATTTTTTCTCTAAAATAAAATTGTTCTTGATCCTTACAGAAAAAAATCGACATCAAATTAAAAAATGAAGGATCGAGCGAAGAAAAAATCAAAGATGCGGTTCGTAAGATCGCTCATTATTCAGTAAAGACGTCGAATCCACATTTCCACAATCAATTATACGCTGGAGTTGACAGTTACGGTTTGGCAGGCGCTTTATTAACAGAATGCTGCAATACAAGCCAGTAAGAATAAAGTTGTTAGTTTTAAAAAAAAAAAAAAAAAAACAGTTTATTAATTTCTAGAAAACTATTTATTATATTTTTTATTGTAGATACACGTATGAAGTGGCGCCGGTGTTTCAATTATTAGAGCGACAAGTGTTGGACCAGGCATTAAAATTAGTAAACTACCCTTCCTATCCTGAAGCAGATGGAATTTTGTGCCCTGGTGGAAGCTTGTCGAACATGTATGGGATGGTATTAGCACGGTACTCACGTATTCCTGAGATAAAGACTAAAGGTCTCAGTGGCTTGCTACCGTTATCAATGTTTACTAGTGAATTGGGCCATTATTCCATTTCAAAAGCAGCACATTGGCTGGGTTTTGGCACCGACAACGTTTATACGGTGATTAATTCTGAAACAATAGAATCTGGGTGACGATTCACGTTTATTGTAGCGATAAATGGAATTGTTAAAGTACAAAGAGTTTTTAGAGTTTTTTTTTTTTTCATTGAATTTAGATAAAAACCGACGAGCTAGGACGCATGGACCCAGAGGATTTGAGAAAAAATATAAAAGACGCGAGAGCGCGGGGAACGATTCCATTCTTTGTAAACGCTACTGCTGGGACGACTGTGGTTGGTTCTATTGATCCGCTTGAAGATATTGCTGCTATTTGCAAGCAAGAGAATCTCTGGTTTCATATCGATGTATGTTTTATTTGTTGGTGAATTTATTGCAAAAGGTACTTTATTTTATAAAATTTTTCCAGGCTTGCTTGGGTGGGACTTTGCTGCTCTCAACAAAATATCGTGATCGATTGAAAGGCGTTGAATTGTACGTATTTATTCACTTTATTATCTTTTTTAGCTGTGACGATTCATTTAAACGGAGTAATATTGTTATGGTCCGCTATTTTAATTATTTAGATCGGATTCAGTGTCATGGAATCCACATAAAATGCTTGGCACGCCTCTGCAGTGTTCGTTTTTTTTAGTCAGACGTAGAAATTTGTTATACGAAGCTAATTGCTCCGGAGCGACGTATTTATTTCAGCAGGATAAATTTTATGACGTCTCCTGGGACACTGGGGACAAAAGTGTTCAATGCGGCAGAAAGGTTACTATTATTTCAATAATACAAATCAATAAATCGACACGGAATAAATGATTATCAATCGGTGATACTAACTTGTTTGAATAAATAAATCCAGGTGGATGCTGTTAAATTATGGCTGATGTGGAAGGCAAGAGGCACCAACGGACTCGGGTTATCCGTTGACATCGCCATGGACTGTGCCGATTATTTTTTCAACAAAATAAAAGATCGCAACGGCTACAGACTTGTCTTCCCAAAATACCAGGGCAACACCATCAGCTTCTGGTAAGTTATTCACCATCCACAATGATCACCAGCTTTACAAATCTTTTTATCAACGAATTTATTGATTTTTTTGAAGGTATATACCTCCGAGCATGAGAGGCCAACCGGAAACCCAAGAATGGTGGGACAAATTGTACGCATTAACCGCTAAAATAAAAGAGCTTTTAGTGTTGGATGGGCAGTTATTAATCGGTTACAGTCCGCTGACGGGTAAAAAAATCGGTAACTTTTTCCGAATGGTCGTTTCCTGCCAACCGACACCTTCTCATCATTCCATGGATTTCGCTCTTCAACAAATTGAATTTATAGCTCACAAATTATAACCTGTGACTACCGTAACTTTATAATAAATATTCCATACAGTAATTCTTTGTAAAATTAGAGAATCAGAAACATTTTGTACCAGATTTTTATGCAAATATTTTATTATTTTATTAGTTAAAGTCATAATCTATGTTTACAAAATATTAGTTCTTCTTAAGTCAACTTCATTACAATCAAACCGATGTATCAATTACACAGTAATATTGATAATAATATTAATAATAACAATCAAAATATTTTGGTATTAATCTATGTATATATTTTATAAAAAATTTATATCAATAAATCTTCACATAAAATTATAAAATTCATTTATGACATTTTCACTTATTTATATTTATCATTATATTTACGTATTTAATATTTTTAATTTTATCGAGCTCAATATGAGTCAAACTTACAACGCCGGCAGACGTTATTAATATATCATTAAATCATTAAAATTAATTATAATAAAGTAAAAAATGATATAATTTTATTATTTACACTTCATGGCACTACATTCATAAAAAATATTCCTATATTTAATCTTAACATAAAACAATTGTTAATCATTCTCTTTACTTTCATAGACTCGAATCGCTTATTTATTTATTTATTAGTACGTTAAAATACTAGTATTGAATCATCTTCACCTATTTACACGTTTGGCGTGGCCTCTTTACAATGAGCATTAATATGAGCTTTCAGCCGCCTAATTTTAATTATATTATATAAAATGTTAATTTACAATATTCATGAAATCTCAGTATGACACATTAATCTTAACAAGAATTAATTTGTTTTCTTCAAAAAAATTCATAATCATCTTTTGCAAACGCCCAACAGGTGTTGGTTGCAATCAATTATTCACATAATTTTCGTATAAAAATCATTTTTTATTTACATCAACAAATAAATAAACTTTGAACTGTTCAAAAAATCAATTGCTTCAATCATTTCTCAACTACCGGTTAAAAAATATAATTTTTATTAAATAATAGTCCTTAAACACTAATTAAGTATCATCAGTCAATCTTATCAATCTCGTTATAAAATATATATTTATGCGAAACTGTCATTACCTCAAATTATGTCACAATTAAATTTCTTATTTTTTAATTCAATATAAAATATTTTTCTTTTTTTTTTTTTTTCAATTGATTGAATTTTTTATCAAAAAAATTTTAGCCAAAACTTATTTTACAGAGCAGCCGAACACAGCCGAATTCAGATCAATGTTATGTCCGCTAAAATTTTTTAATTTAAGCGTCCATAAATTGAAAAAATAAATTAATCTAATTTATTTATTTGACAAGTAATTATTTTTTTCTTTCTTCCATTAGACCAAAATATAAATGCATTTGTTCAATTGAAAATACTAGCAAACCCGGCCTAATTTAATTAGATTTTAAGGTTACGCACTTTTTTCATTATTTTTTACTGTATAATACCCTGATTTTTTTTTTATAATTCTGAGTTATGACACTTTTAAACACTTAATAATATTTTTCCTGGTCCAAATCAGCTCGTATGTGCTGCTGACCATGACTATTCCTCTTCAAAGTAGCAGACTCGTAATCCAAAGCTTTAGGATACAATTTGGGACTTCCCAGGCCGTTGACATTAGGGTTAGTTTTGTTCCTCAGCGTTCCGTTTCCATTACTTGTGCCGGAGAAACTTGGTTGCCTCTTAGCGTTAACCTAAATAAACAAACAAACCATTAATTACGTGTCCGAAAAAAATTTTGCTTATTTTCTTAATTATATAAACAAGTTATGATATTGAAAAACAATATATTATTTTTAGTTAAGAATTTTAATATCGACGTTCTAATTAGCAAATTGTTTAACTCCATTTTAGAGAATCTTCCATTTGTACAAAAAAATAATTAGTTCAAAATTTATTATCGCTTTAAAAAACCATTTTATATCTAATAGAGGTATAATATTTTGGTTTAGATCATTCAAATAATTTATAATTGGAATATTGTTAAGACTACATGAAAATGTTAAAAAATCACTCTTTAACAAATAAAGAGTTACAAAATTTTAATTGCATATCGACGGTCTAATTAACAATTGGTTTATTTGCATTATTTTGTTCGAAAGTATAGTTGCTAAAGAACATAAATATGCCCCGCAAATAGAATTTGCGCTTAATTTGGTATTGATGATAACTAATACCATACCTCTTTAAGCGGAACAGCAACATAAGGATTCTGCTTGCTGATATAATGAGGACTTCCAGGAACCCCCGGTTTTCTCCTCCTCAAGTACAAGAAGCACATCATGGCAGTCAGCGCCAACCCCAACAAGAATCCCGCAATACACCCTCCCACTACCGCTCCCACAGAAATTCCGGCGACATGTACACTCCTGGGCAAAGCATTGGTAAGAATGTCATTTTTCCCCCAATCAGGAGCTCCCAAGACACTGACACCGTCATCGCCATCTTCAATGTTCCAGCACTTGCGAACCTCGCGACTAGAACCCTCACAAATTCCATCACCGGGTTCCATCAAGCACTGCCTCTTCCGGAACTGGGTCTGTCCGTCACAAGCGGACCAAGCGCTCCATTTGTCCCATCCGAACAAAGACGCACAGCTGGGCATTTCGCAGGTTTCGCGCATGACACTGATGCCCTCGCAGCCGGACAGCGCCACCGATCCTGACGCCGCGGAACTAGCATCCACTAGACACTCACGCGTGCGCGTTCTGAAGCCCACGCCACACGAGACCGAGCATTCTGACCAATCTGTCCAACATGACCACTCTCCTCTTCCACTCCTTTGAACGAACTCATCGTCATCCCCGTTCCCAGTCTCTGATTCTCCTTTGCAAGGGTTCATATTACAGATCCTCGTCTGGATATTGACACCCTCGCAAGGTGGCGACTCACAGGAACGCGTCCGGTGCTGAGAGCCACCATTACACGCCCGACTGCACGCGTACCAAGGCGACCACTCTGACCAGCCGTCGGTATTGTCGAAATTGTTGTTGGTAGGACTGAAAACCGAGTTCTTGAGACAGTTACCATCCTTGCAGTGCCGCTCTTCCTCTTTGGCCAAGGCAACTTTAACTGAAGCAGGGTCATCAGTTTGGGCCCGACAACTGAACTTGTACCGTTTTTCCGTGACTCCCATGGAAGTCTGGCTGCCGTTTATAAGCAGCCAGGGCGTCCAGGAATAGCGTCGAGTTTCTGAACAGGAATGAGTGTTACAATCCTCGATCTGGAAGCTACATCCAGAACACTCTGGAGTTGACGAAGCCGTAGACGACGGTGGCTTGTCGCAAGTTCTTTTGCGGATTCTGATACCGCCGTTGCAATTGCGCGAGCAGCTGTTCCAGGAACCCCAGGGTGACCAAACGCCGATTGATTGAGTAGGGGGTGGGGGTGGAGCTTTGGCTGGAACAGGACAAGGTGGGAGGTCGATACAGACGATTTCGTCGTGATCATGCCCAACGCAAACGCGCCCCCCGTAAGCGGGTGCAGGATTCGTACAAGTTCGTCTGCGGGTTTTGATAGCGAAGCCGCAAGTTTGCGAGCAGGCTGACCAGGCGGACCACGCTGTCCAGCCACCATGGACTGTGCAGTTGGCGACCTTGATGCGCGTACCCGTGCATTGGGAGCCGCCATTTTGTGGAGGCGGGTTGTTGCATTCGCGAGTTTGGCACTGACATGTGTCCGGGCTTTCTGTATCAATGTGCGGGCGCAAGTGTGACCTGATGTTGTGGCCCGTCGCCATTTCGGCTGTTCCGTGTTGGCAAGACGACCAGGTGCTCCAGGCGCTCCAGCCGCCATCTACCGGGTCGGTTAGAACTGGGCAGGTTGTCACTTCTTGGCGCCAATGATTCGCTAAGTAGTTCTGCGTGGGTGCTTGGTCGCATTTCATCAAATGCGCGTTCCAGCCACAGTAGGGATCTTGGGCGTTCAGACAAGCCTGCTCTTTCTTGTGTCTGTGGCACTGGGCAGCGGGAATCCTGAGTAAGCCAGTCTCCATTCCTACGTAGAGACTCTGGGAGTCTTTCAAGAACTGGAGCGTCATTGCCGGTGAAGGAAATGGACCCCAAACTTCGACGATGCAAGTTTCTTGTGTCCTAGGAAGAACTGATATCTTCTTGATCAGTCCTTCGGTGGTAGCTACGTAGAGGACCGTGACCCCGCGGTGGATTTTTGTTGGTGTTACGTCTACTGCGATGTGAGTGAAGCGTTCCAGAGTGGTTGTGTGCAAGGGTGATGAAGTGGTTCCTTGGGCGGCTTCGTCCATCAGTTGGTAACGTTGGTTGTCGAATATTTGGTGGGCTGGGGGCTGCTCGAGGCGCCCGCAATGTTGGCGGTACTGGTTCGGCACTCGCTTCTTCTCCCATGCTGCTCCTGAATGCTCTTGGTGCTTGAAGGGGCCGTTGAATGCTTGATTTATCGCGGTCATGTTGAATGAACATATCGCAGAGCCGGCAATTGCGTTGCTGTCGAAAAATTAATTTATTTAGTTTTTATATTAATTAGCAGTGAGTTATTTATTACTGTGTTTCCGGGTTGCAGATTGATTAATGGAATGATGAATATTTTGGTTGAAGTTAATTAATCATTGATTAAGTTTGGTTGGATTTTTATTTAGGCATGATTTGTGAGTTGTGGAACAGGAATTTAGTTGGTGAAGTTACCTGGGAGTTGTGAAGGTTGCGTAGACTATTCCTTCCTCTGGGTGGTAAGCTGCGCCTTGGATTTCGTCGTAGTAGAACGGAAATTCACCAGGAAGGGAACAGTTCAGTCGGGCTTTGCTGAAAGTTGTCCATATTCCCCGTTGGACTGTTGGACTTCCTGGGTCTTTTTTGCACACTCGGGATATTCGAGAATATATTTTCTGGAAGTTATGTAAAGAGAATTAAAATTGTGGATACTAATTTATTTATTTATTTCTGAATAAATTTTTAAGCCTGATATCGAAATATTCTTCGAAACATAAAAAATTAATACAGTGTATTTAAATTAAAAAAAAAAAAAAAAAAAATAGTATGAAAAAATTAACGAAATTATTGCTCGAATAATTGTTTTCATCGAATTAACCAATGAAATGACAGGAAAAACGGAAAATGTATTCCTATAGGAATAGTACAGAAAATAGGCTGAGAACAATATTCACGCATGTGCGTAAAATGTTCCGTATGATGTAACTACAGAAATACAACTACCATGTTGTTTTTATGGATGAATTAAAAATGTTTTGAAATTTTAGTCATAAGAAATGTTTTTCTTTTATTGCCACTTAATTATTACCTTCAGTTTTCATTAAAGAAAGATTTTAATGCACATACATATTATTAAGTGTTCAACTCAACATTTTACGGTCTGACTCACATATTCATGCAGGTATTACGTATAATTCTATACTAATTATACAATTATCTTCAACGTAAGCATATGATTATTTCTATACTTAGAATTCTTTTGTTACACTTTTAATTCTTAAAAAGAATAACCTTCAAATAAATAACAAAAATTTTTATTTTTATTAATAAAAAAATTATTATGATACTGAAATCAGCAGATCACTAATTATTTTGTTGGTTGTATTTAAAAAATTAATTTTTTTCAAGTTCCAGAGAATTTTTTCAGCATAAAATAAAATTTACTTTATTAAAAATTATTAATTAGAAGTAATTAATAAATTACCTTTCCGCAGTTGATGTATTCAACAGCTATTTCACGAAACAAAAAGTAAACATGGTCTTCAGTTTCGAAGCTTCCAACGAACTGTGGGTCATTGAGCCACCTAAAAAGTAAAAAAAAAATGACTAAAAGTAATGAATATATCTTAATTTAATTTCCTGAGTACACGATCAACGGTCATAATTACATATTAACAAAAAATGTTATTTTGTATATGCGACAGGAAGGCAAATAAATTAGTTCACGTGAGTCAATTAAATTGATTAATTACACTGATGAGGGAAAAATAAATAAAAAGGATAAAATTTAATTAAAATTTCGCATCACTTGGATCGGTGCGTTATTTATAATTAAGTAAAAATTTTTTACATTAATACAAACCTCGAGTCGTACTGCTGCGTGCGAAGACTTGGTGACGCTAATGTCCGGTAAATAGTTCCATCAGTACCGGAAAAATCTGTCGGCGCGCCAGCAAATAGACCGGCATTTTCTTTTGCCAGCAATGCCGTTACATTCGCCTGGGGTGAGTATGGACACATTGCGACACCAGAAACTGAACTTGTTATGCTGTTGATATTTTCAATCTGTAAATAATTTAATAACAAAATTTGAACCTTATTCGGAGGACTAAGTAAAAAAAACCTTTGGGATTAATTAATGAGCTTTTTAACTCACTATTAAAGAGTCGGAATAGTTTGTAAGAACATCAAAAAATGAAAATACATTATTTTAAAATAAAAATTGAATTTTTGAAAGTAATAAAAGTTTTTCAGCGCCAAAGTACAGTAAATAGTATTTTATTTATATTTTCAAAAGTATATTTTTGAACAGCCCGCCTTTTTTACTTAGCAAACACCATTTTCAGGAAGATTTTAATAGATGGAGACTGAGGCGCTACCTTTTAGCGATCTCGAACGACAGTCGATATAAAATCGATTAAAAATATTTTGGATTGTTTTAACTCCGAATGAAAATGTGTATTTTTTAAAATAAATAATGTGCCTGCCCGACGGTGGTAGAAAATAGAGCTGTAACTTCTGGTCTAATTATATTTATTATAATTCAACCAAAAGATATTGAGCTTAGATTTTGAAAAGGGTCATGCGCATTGAAGGGAATTATTTAAAAATCAAGTTGATTTGTTGTATTTTTTTAAAAGTAAGATCGTTACTGGGCCCATAACCTATGGAACAATCCATAGTAATGTGACAAGTTACTAAACAGTTGATTTGTCCATAAACATCTTGATTTATCGATTCTATTTTGTATCAAATCTGTTTATTGATCACGTTTCTTGCAACAGTCTATCTATTGTCCTATTCAAATGTTTGTCATAATTACAGATAAGATTTATCGTGACTTAAACTTTATTTTTAGAGCTATAATTTTCCAATTTTAGTTCCTGTCTTGAGTGTTAAGTACAAGACACTTATTGCCGAACAAAAAAGTTGTATTGAGCAGTCTATAATAAACAGCCAATAAATAAGAGGGTCAATTATGTAAATGAGAATGTTAATTACACGAACCGGATGAAAATAAAGAAATTGAAGAGAGACGGTGAAATTAACCGTCAATTAAGGGGATTAATAATAATTATTACCTCACGCCATGTGCACTGTGGGCTGAAGGCATTGGTACCGCAGGTAAAGAGACTCTTGCCATTAGTAAGCAGGACCTTGATGTAATTGTGACAGTCGAGAGCGGTTTGACCTTTGTCTTGGCACACGGTCGCTTTTTCCGGTGGCGCTGGCCACGACGCGTGCTCTAGAGGCGTCAGGGAATTCAACGTCAGTCGGTACAGGTTATCTCTGCAATAAGAAATAATCATTAAAATAGTAATTAATATATCATAAAAATTATTTATTTTATTATTATCCTAAAAAAATAAATTTGTTTTTGTTACTATTAGTTATTTTAATAAAAATTATTTAGCTAGTTCAACAACGGAATTTTTTAGATCAAAGAACTAATTAATGTTGCTGCAACAAATTATTTTGTTGAACCAAAAAGAAATATTTGTTATCTCTTAGAAAGAATTTAGTTGGTTCAATAAACCCTTGTTAAGTCAGCTAAAATATTTTTTTTGAACCAACTGAAGGGTTCTGCTACAATATCAAAAATTTTTTGTTGTAATCAAAACATATTATTTGTTAGCCCTATACCAACATAGTTAATTTATACCACAACTCTTCTTATGCTGTTTTAACAGAAAATTTTTCCAGTGTATTTCTTATAATTACAGTAGATTTGGCAAGAATACATTTAATTAATATAAAATTTAAATGCAAAGGTTTGACCATTTTTTATAATGCTTTAAAACTTATTTCTCGACAACTATGAATTTCAGTTAAATTTTACAAGAATAACTTTCTTATTAAAATTGCCTAAATCAATTCATTTAAAAAAATTTTTTTCAAACAATTTCTAATCAATTGGAAAAATTTTTTTCCAGCGCACGTGATAAGCTAATTTAGAATTTTAAGACTAGATCAAATAAAACTTGAAATTATGGCACCTGATATCATTCAGGAGGAATAAAAAAACATTTTATTCGTCCTACTACTAAAAAAATTAGTCGCGTGTCATAAGGTGGTATGTAATATGTAACACATAATATATTTGCTGTCTATCTCGTGCACCCTTGTATTTCGTATTGAGCACAGCTGGACCTGGGCTTGTACCTGATAAGCGCTTATCCACAACTTTATAACTTATAACACATAACATTTGAATAAAAAGTAATGTCGTGTTTCTTGCAATATCTATTGATAACATAAAAAAATTGAAATAAATAAATAAAACCAGATCAAACAAAACGAAACTCTTTATACCACCAATAACTTTTAATCCAGTCTTTACTTATATTATATCAGTCCTTGAGCCCGCGGTGCGGTGATTATTTTTTACCTGTAAATTTATAAATATAACTACAAACATATTTAAATATTCAGCGCCAACGCAAGTTTATTTATAAATTTATTTATAATTTATCACCAGTCAAGTTTTAAAGTTAAGTCTCCAGTCTACAAGTTAAGTTTAAGTTCTCGTATCAGTTTTTGCGCCTACTCGACTACTACAAGTCAATCGTCAATCGATCTATTTACTCGATATAATAATAATAACAATAACAACATAAACAAAAATAATAGTAATAAAAATTAAAGGTACGTAGATTGTCGCCTACAAACATTTTAATAAAATTCAAGTAGGTTGTTTCGGAATGCCGCTCAATGGTTACGTTGGCACGTTATTTCTCCGATCAAGTCACTTGACTTTGTCAAATGCTATTTCAACAGCCATCGACCTGTTGTGTAGCCTTGAGTTCGCCCTTATAGTTATTGTTCAAGATACGTCTGTTGGCCAACTGTTTTTATTATTGTACTTTAGATTTTATGACCAATTTGTTGTATATATGTGTAATCACATATAAGATTCATGTATGATCAGATATCGACTTTTTTACTCAGGACGTAAAAGATATAAATAATAATTTCACTGTAATTATTGATCGGAGTGTGTTCAATAACGGACAGTTTGGCGTCGGAGAATGTCAAACTGAGATCAGTGATTACGTCTCAGTCAACCGAGTTATAACCTGTTGGCACTCTTGTATCTTTGATCATAGGACCAGAGATTGTCGAGCTTAATCCTTCATCCAACGAGACTTAACAGCTATGTCATTGGTTATTGATGTTTAGTCAAAATTAATATCACTAAATAAAATTTTTTAAATATTTTAAATTAATATTTAAAGAACAAATTCAATTATATCACATATAACTTGATATTATATATGGCCACTTTAGATCATATGGGGCAATTTAAATTAATATGTATTTTGGGTGATACGACAAAATCTCCCCGACAAAATCTAATTTTAAATAATTTTAAATAATAATTTTATCATTCCTGACAACGAGATTTTAAAGCGTATTTTGTCGGGGAGATTTCGTGGTACAACCGTATTTTGAATTAATATCTACATAGTCTTATATGGCCATTTCAGGTCATATGTGATCATATTAAACAATAAATTGATATATCAAACCTTTTATTGCCATATAATCTCATGTTTTTATCATATACACTGAGAAAAAAATACTTTTATTAAGAAAATTTTCTTGATTAAAGAATTTATGTTCTTGAAAATTTTCAAAAATATATATTCTTAGTTTAAGAAATAGTTGAAATAATTTTTACTTAGTTTAAATAAAGCTATTCATTTGTTTATCTATTATCCAAAGATAAATATTAATCTTCTTCTCGGCTGCCCAATTTTAAAACATAGTAACTAACATTTAAAAATTTTTCTTATTAAAAAAAAAGTTTGCCTGCCAAATTGATGAAAAATTTGATTTATGAATAGAAAATACTTGAATATAAATATTTTTAAGAAAAAATACGTGTAATTAAGGTTTAAAAGTTATAAAAAATGCAACAATATTAAAAAAAATTAGGTATAAAAATTTTGCAGTTACTGTGTTTTAAAATTGGACAGCCGTTCTCTTCAGAAATTAATAATTAATAATAATAGAATATTTTATTGTCAGCGAGTTTCTTGAGCCAAGAAATTGTTAATTGAGCAAAAGGAATTTTTTTTACATAACTATCAAAAATTTTTTAACTTTTTTGAACAAACTTAATATTCTGAAAATTGATAAATACCCAAGAGAAGAAAGAGATATAGTAACAAAGATAGTCTTTTAGCAAAAATTAAATACGGGGAAGAGTATTCGTGCGCTGAGCAGGAAGTAATCTGTTTCAATGTGGCCACTTTCTGATAAGTAGTGCAATAACGAGCAATTCAAGTAGTCACTTGTATCTAACTAATATACTTATACTTGTGTTACATATATATTTTTATTTTTTCTTAATACAACTTCTTCCCATCCTCATCATTATTTCTCTCTCCATCATCCTTCATCCTCCATTCATCTCTATTATATTCGTCAGTTAGGTACAGTCGCTCTCGTACTAGGTGGATTAACACCGTTACACACTTCTATCATTTTAATTTTATCATTTCATCATATTATCCATAATATTATATCCTATTCGATTAAACGAACTAATTCAATTTAATTCCATTGAATTCCTCCTGTAAGTCATTGGTGAATTATTATAAGCAAAATTCATTTTTATTGAGCCCATTAGACATAAATATTGGAGTCATTTTTATCGTGACACCGGCTGATTACACAGCAACTAAAAGTTATTATTACTTACACCCGGTTGCGAGTTAGTAGATTATGTATATAATATAGTATAATATAATATGTATAGACTTGAGGTACAACAGACTAGCGATTTTAAACGGCCTCGAGCCGTCCTCCTGTTTCACTTTTGTGATTGCAGCCACACTTTGACAAGAAATAAACCGGCAGCCAAGCATAAATGGCGCCTACGTGGGCGCTTAATTATTTATTCCTTTTTTTTTTTTGTTAATAAATATTTTTATCGATATTCTTACACTCGATATTAAGTAACGGCCAAATTAATTATTAATTAATCTATTAAATAATCGGTGGAGAATAAATTTCAAAGCCGGTTATTTTACAGTTATTTATCGTCTATTTTTATTTTATGATAGACAGTAACATTAAGCAACATAAAGACACATCAAATTTTTTGATAAAAAATTTTTGAATGTTCAACTTTTTCTCTCAAATATCTTTGTTCAATTTTCTTGACTCTGTCCGAGAATTTCTTGAATTAATTTAATCAGAATATCTCGTCTAAGGAATTAAATTCCAGAAATAGTATTCTTCTTCAATCAATTTTTTTTTTCCAGTCCAATAAAAAAATCCAATTATCTGAACGCCCGAATTTTGAGGTGTGTAATTATACCATCGAATAATCACAATTAAAACAAAAGCTAAAAAACCCAACGAGATGTTGATTTCGCAGTAAAAATATATAAATGTCTGACTCGATTAATCTTGAGATCGTTGTGAGGCTGATATGGGTATTGAGGTCGCGTGAGAACGATAAATTAATCGTTTGGGATCGTTTTACCGGTAGGTGTCGATAGCGAATAAAAATAAACCATTATAATTATAGTTATAATTATAACATTATAATGCAAAGTAGAATAGAGAATCCAACTATAAACCCGATTCAGGAGTTTGGTTTTAACTTTTTAGATCGATATTGATCGAAGTGATATGATATAAGAGGAGTTGGGCAGCTATTTTATTTTCATTACTATCGTGGGAAGTTTTTGAGATTCATTCATATATTTTTTGAGAATAAACTGACTTTTTTTCAGTTATTGTTAACGTTATTTTTATTCTTAACAGTATTTGCTGAGTGACGTGTATGTATAATGCATTCGTATGTATGTAGAGGAATTATTTTATACAAATAAAATCTACAAATGAATGATACACAGTAACAGCACAGGTATCAACGGCCTACGCGCACGTTCTTAATATATAGCATTGTATGTCGAAATCGCGAATTATGCGTACACACGCGTGCATGAGCGACAACCTGGGGACGGGGCACTATTAATATACGCAGGTAGATACAGACGGCAATCCTGCACATTATACCATTTTGTATCCCGCGTGGGTTTTTAGATATTTTTAAATTCTTTTGCTTTAGTTTAGTTTTTTATCTGTTATTATTATTATTATTATTATTATTATTATTATTATTATTATTATTATTATAAATGTGGATATATTTATTTATTTATATATGGAGCGTTATATCAATGAGACAGCTGCGGTGAGAGCGGTGTTACATTAAATATCGCTCAAATTGAGAGAAAGTGTGTGTTTAATTTGAAAAATAAAAAAAAATTTGAGAAATTGAGAATTGAGTTGTAGAAAAATAGTCTTCATTAATTTTTACTTGAAAAAAAATTAATTTAATAATTCAAGCGTGAGTTATGAAGAAAGTAGTTCTGTTAAAAAATTTCTCCAAGTATTATAATTAACATATTAGTACTAATATTGATAAATATTTAATTAAAGTAAATATTTATTTAATGAGACGATTAAATCTCGGATTGGAATGGCCAGTAATTTAATTATTTTTATAAGATACTTTTATAGTTAATATTTAATATTTAATATTTATGGAGTTAGAGTGTGTACTTATGTTTTATGTGAATGAGGATTACCTAATCCGTAATCCTCGATTATGTGGTACACAGGTATGTATGAGGTAGAGGCTTCTAATCGTATTCTCGTATCTGTCGTTAATTAATTAACACGCGCGTGCCTTTTAAACTAATTGCGCTGGTGTTTGTCTGTATCATACATGTGTAAATCATTAGCTTGTTTAGATTCTA